CTGCGGGGAGGGGCCGGGGGCGCGCGCCGCTGGAGAGCTTCCCCGCAACGTCAGCCGTTCCCCGGGGCACGGTGAGGATGCCGTCCTGCCGGAGGGCGGGAAGGTGAGCTTGGGGACGGGCGCCTGGACCGTCCTAAACCGCAGAGCCGGCTGGCTGGCGGGTCCGTGGGGCAAACCCATCCTCCTGCACCTGCTGGGCGTCTGTCCGCCCTGCGTGTGGAATGAGCCAGGTCGGGGGAAGTTCTGCTGCGCTGGGTCTGTCCAAAGCATTAAGGGGCTGGGATTTTCCAGCAACAGTTAATGAGGAAAGTTTTAAACAAATACAAATGCTTTGTCTTAAGAAACGCAATGTTTGAGTCTTTTATTTTGGATTATTTACGTGCTTTTACTATGACAGTCAAACTATTCACAACTCGAACAAGGGAAAGACTTTGCTCGCAAGACCTGCTCACTGAATGTCGCCGCATCAGTAACGCGCAGGTGTCTCAGAGAGAGCTGGGCATCCTCAGTTCTAAGGTGGCATCTTCCACTCCACATCTGTCCCTCCTTCTCCCCTTGTCTTTCCTAGGGCCCCTCCTAAACTAGCAACATCGCCCGATTTTTCTCAACTTGCTTAACTTTTTAAAAGATAGACAACACACAGGCAGAGACCTGTAGACATCCTGAATCTCACAGAGGGACCACACCCAGGTGCACAGCACAGAGATCTAGACAAAAAACAGGGTGCCCAGAGCGCCTGCTCACTTCCCGCCCTGCCCTTCCTCCCCGGGGAACCACTCACTTGTCTTCTAACATGCAGACTAGTTTGGCCCCGTCTTGTACTTCCTACAATGAAACCGCATGTTTGCCCTTGATTGGATCTGACTTATTTTGCTCCCCCTTATGTCTGCTCAGTCACCCACAAGAGCTCAGCCAAGGACTGATCCGTCTCGCAGTTGCCAGGGGTCTAGCTCAGGGTCTCACCAGGTCTGCTGCATTCATCTCACTGTCTGCGTCCCCACTGAAAGCACGTTACCTTACTAAAATATGTTTTTGAAGCCTTAACTCCCCCACTTAACTCTCTTACATGGTTTCCAAGCCCAAACTCATTAGCACAGCCATCAGGCTCAGTGCAGCCACGCTCTGCCCCAATGACTTAAGGGTCCTATGCTGTGGGCATGTCATGTCATACCCATCCCCCCCAAAACCTGAGCCATCAAGCCTGTAACAGCACTGTTCTCTCCTCCTGGGATGCCCATCACCCCAGTCTCCACTGGTGAACTTTCCAAGCTCTTTAGAATTATTCCTGGTCCTTTTCATGCAGGATGAATCCCTCTCTGTGTCATTTGTGATCACATGACACTTGTTACAAATGCATATTATAGCAGGTTTTATTTTTTTAATTGAATGAAAGACTCTTCTTTAATGCTTTTCAATTTTCAAAAGTTTCACGTATATGATTTCATAGAATCCCATTATAAACCTTTCCCCCCCCACCTTCCCCCTTCCCTCCCCCCACTGGTAACCTCTGGTCTGTAAGTGGCGGGAGTCTGCTTCATTTTTGCTTATTCACTAGTTTGTGGTACTTTTTTAGATTCCATACATAAGTGATAGCACACAGTGTCTGTCTTTCTCTGTCTGACTTATTTCACTTAGCATAATACCTTCCAAATCCATCCATGTTGCTGCAAATGGCAAAACTTCATTATTTTTTATAAATGAATAGTATTCTATAGTATATATTTATATATATACCATGTCTTCTTTATCCATTCACCTGTTGGTGGACACTTTTAATAAGTGTAAAAGCTTTCACACAGTAGGAACCACCAACAAAATGAAAAGACAGCTGATGGATGGGAGAAGATATCTGCAAACGATTTGACCCTTCTAAGCTCTTAACTATGTCTCTACATCCTGTTCCTTCCATTCTCTCATTCTTCCATCCCCTCTAAACCTGCCCCTCAGATTCATCACTGGCTACACCACTGGCCAATACACCGTTTCACCTTCTCCAGCTACCTGCCCCTGTTTAAGCACACTTTTAGGGGACACTGCTTTTATTTGATAATAATGATCGTCACACAAGCTGCGTCCTCGCAGGTTAGCTGATGAATAGTGAGGTGATGTAATGTATCACCGTCCCACTGTAGAAACATCTGAGAGTAAAAGAGGGTGTTAGAGATGACTGCCTGGTGAGATGTGGTTCTCAGGACAGCAGGACCGTCCCTGGGAAGCTAGGATAGAGGGTGACGAGACCTCAAAAGACCAAGGGCTTTGGAGATCAGGGACACCTCCCAGCCCCATTTTTCCCTAGTCTCATTCTCTGTTGCCATTAAAGTAATAATGGAAGTTGGCCAAGTGGAAAAAGAGAAGGAAAATCCATGTGCTGTCTGTCCCAGGTATGGAGAAGATCAACTTCTCGGGTGGAGAGCCCTTTATCCACGACCGGGGCGAGTATCTCGGCAAGCTGGTGAGATTCTGCAAAGAGGAGCTGCAGCTGCCCAGTGTGAGCATCGTGAGCAATGGGAGCCTGATCCGGGAGAGGTGGTTCAGGAACTACGGTGAGCTCTGCGTGTGACACTGGACTGTGGCCGCTACCGTGGTCCAGTGCGTTCTTTCCTTCCATCCTGGGCCTTCGGCCAGGCCTGCTGGGGATCAGGAGGGACAGAAAGACAAATGTGCTTATTCTCTTCTCTTTGCAAGCTGTGCACGGGGTTTTGGTGGGTTTCATTCTGTAGGGCTCTGGGTAAACAAGTATGTCCGCTATCAATGGAGCAAGTGTTTAGCGGAACCACGAGCGGGGCAGATGAACACACTTTACAGTTTTGCAAGCCCCGACCTTATTGTTTGTTTGCTATTCATGTTGAATTTTTAAAATATTTATGGAAATAAGTGTATTTGGTAGTCTCATGTATAAATTAATTGCTTGGACTAAAACAGTTGTTCTTGTCTCTGGCTACATATTTGA